TTTTACTATCAACTTATTTATAAAAATAATCTAGTTAAATGAATTTTTTTTTCATTTGATACACAGAATAATTTTGTTAATCTTTTTAATTACAATAAAAAAGTTGTCAAATTCTAACCAAAAAGTTTACTTTGTTGAACTATTGCTTTCTTTTTCTAGTTATATTCTCAGCAATGACAAATATTTTCAGAAAACAGATTTTATAAACAAGAGGCCCACGGGCCTTAAAGGTCACCTGAGTATCCTGTAACAACCACCATTTGTTCACCCCTTCCCACAGGAACCACTGACCCTGAGGTCACATATTTCAAAAATTTGGAAATTTTATCATAAATTTTATTCATAAATAGTTGATTAAAACCAAAAAGCAGATTTCAAAGCATTAAATTATCTTTAGACTAAGTACTCCCCCTCTCTCATACCCCTGACTCAGGGACACTGAAATTAATCATTTTGGAAGAGGCATGTTTCTTCATCATAAATATGTACTTAGATCATTGGCATAATACCAAGGAGCAGAGAAGAAGATTTTTAAAGAATTCATGCATTTTCACTATATAATCACATCCCGCCCTAACATCCATGACCCATGACCCAGGGGCCCTAAAATTCACAAATTGGGAAGAAGCATCCTTCCTCGTCATAACTATCTATATAGTTCATTGGTTTAATACCCAGGAGCAGAGAAGAAGACTTATAAAGAATTTATGCATTTTCATTATATAATCAATAGAGCCCCACCCTAACACCTAAACCCCGACCTAGGGGCCATAAAATTCTCAAATTTGGAAGACACACTCTTGTTCAACATAATCATGTACTTGGTAAGCTACTTTAATACCCAGAAGCTGAGAAGAGGATTTTTAAAGAATAAATGTATTTTCACTATATTATCAATAGAACCCCGCCCTAACACCAGAACCCCCAACCCAGGGGCCATGAAATTCATAAATTTGAAAGAGACATTCTTGCTCATCATAACTTTTTACTTGGTTTAGTTTATTTATTACCCAGGAGCAGAGGAGAAGATTTTCAAAGAATTTATGCATTTTTACTTTATATTCAATAGAGCCCCGCCCTAACACCAGAACTCCTGACCGTGGGGCCATGAATTTCACAATTTTGAAAGAGGAACTCTTGGTCATCATAACTTTGTACTTAGTTAGTTTGTTTAATACCCATGAGCAGAGGAGAAGATTTTCAAAGAAATAATGCATTTTCACTATATAATCTATATAGCCCCGCCCTAGCACTAGAACCCCTGACCCTGGGGCCATAAATTTCACAATTTTGGTAGAGGACTCAATACTGATTACAATCATGCCAACAGTTTGACTGCTTGATGTCCAGGAGTAAAGAAGAAGATTTTTAAAGATTGCAATAATTTTAGTGGTTTTGGCCCCACCTCTAAGGCCCCAGGGGGGCAGGGACCCTGAATTTCACAATTTTTGTTTCCCTGCACCCATAGATGTTATATGCCAAAATTGGTTGAAATTGGCTCAGTGGTTCTAGGGAAGAAGCTGAAAATGTTCAAAAGTTTACGACCGATTGACGACGAACTGCGAACTACGAACGACGTACGACGACAGACGAAAACAGATAGCAATAGGTCACCTGAGTTTACTCAGGTGACTTAAAAACATAAACTGAAATTTAGGAATTGTTTATAATCAAGCACAAGTTAGATGTATGAGCAAAATGGATGGGGGATGTGCGAAATTGTGATGCCACACCAGTGAAACTGTAGAGGGCTCTTACTTTTTACGGACGCAGCAGATTTAACGGATATCTGGGAACCTGACCTAGAATCACCTGTGTAGTGGACAAAACTTTCTCTTTTCAAATCAATTACAACCTAAATAACATTTTGTTCTCTCTCAAAATGTAACATTTAAGTATGGCATTAATAGAAGTTTACATTAGCTGTTTTACAATAATTTCATAGGGTATGAACCCTGTTTACTGAAATGCATTTCATATCACTAAAACAATCTTAATTTTACTAAAAATAATCATTTTGTCAATCTTTAGAAAGATCCTATGAATCAAACTATATGCATGCAGTTTTTAATTTCAATAGACAAAAGTTCAAGAAGTGTTTTACTTGTTTTGGTCAGCTCTTCCTTCCTTCTTTTTTGTTCTTTTTTCTCCATGATCTTCCGAGATGCCTTCTTACATTCCTCTGTTGTTTCCATGATCATCTTGCAAAACTGTAACACATGAGTAATGACAATTTTTTTAAAACTTAATATTACCATGCCAAATTCAAGAAATGTTATTTGTAGAGAAGACAGTCAGGGCATGATATAAAAAAAATTAATGTATTATAAGATTCCTTAATTACATGTAATTACAGTACCAAATAATACCAAAAACTACTCATCTCTTTTAGCATTCTAAGCGAGAGTTATCATGTATATTTTGATGCACCAGCCATGCAAGGGGGTTGCAGACACATATAATTTCATATGAATGGACATGCTCCAAATCATCTTCGCTAGTTAAGGGTTTCTGATCTGAAATCTACTAGATTTCGGATCAGAAACCCTTGGCTAGCCAAGATCACCAGCTAGCTCCAAATATTTCATTCATAACAGTTAGATAAAATTCTGACAAGCTGTCAGTTTTTTTTTTTAATGAAAAAAATTTCTGAAAGTGTAATAAAAACACATAAATAATAATATACATTCAGTGTCTAAATAAAACAGATTTACTTCATTTATATTCATATACATTTTGCTTGACAACAAAGAACATCCTTCAGTTTGCCTTTCGCCAAGCATATTCTTTCACTTTAAACAAAAAGCAGTGAACTCTTTTTTTTTTTCTCATGCAGTTTTAAAAGGTGGGGTTGCTCAAAATAAATAAAAAAATTTACCTCAGGGTAGTGGAACTATCAGAGATGAAGAAATTCACAAATTCATTTTTGTTTTAAATAATCTATATGTCTTCTAATCATTAAGTCATCCTTTGTCATCATAAAAATGCAGATTTCCATATACATGTACTTAGTGTTTTCCTTAGGAGCCAACAACCAGACAAATTGACCACCTCGAGTGGTAAAATCATTAAACGTTGCTTTGGAATAAAAATTTCAAAATTCAATTATTGTAAGGTCCACAGAGATTTGTCATAAAGCTCAACCCAAAGCTTGTTACAATTGATCTCTAACCCTTTGCTTTGAAATTAAGGGAAAACACTTTATATTTTTTTTTTACCTCCCCATAATCCAGACGACCATCTTTATTTTCATCCACTTCATCAATCATCTTTTTTACTTCTGAACGACTCATCTTTTCACCTTTCTAAAATTGAAATTTCATCGTACATTGTGATAAAAAGTACACATCCATAAAATTAAGAGTACACATGGAAATATTTTTCATGGTGCTTGGCTTACAGTAGTCATGATTTTGTACAGCTCCTCCAGGGAAATATATCCATCTCCATTAATGTCTATCTTTCTGAATGCTTTCATTAAGTCGTCAGCAGTGGTGGCCTTTTCCTTTTTACAGATGTCGACAAAATCATCAAATGTCAAGTGGTCTGAAAATAATGAATATCATTCGTTTATGAAGAGCTCTTTCAAATAATTTTATATCATTCTGAAAAATCCAATTCATAACAAGAGCCCAGGGGCCACATCGCTCACCTGAGCAATTGGCTAAGAAAAAGCACACATCAGATCAGAACTGAAAGTTTACCAAGGGAGGGAGGGGGCTTGAATTTTAAACCCCCGGGGGGGTCATGATTAGAACAAACTTCAATCTACACTACCTGAGGATGATTCCCTATAAATATTACTAAGCATGGCTTTAAAGTACTTGAAAAGAAGATTTTAAAAGTTTTCCCTAGATATTCCTATGTAAAACTTTTATCAGCCATTTTGGCCCCACACTACCGCCGCATGATTTCAACAAACTTGAATCTACACTACCTAGGGATGATTCCACAGAAGTTTCATCTTTCCTGTCTCAATGGTTCTTGAGAAGAAGATTTTTCCTATATATTTCTATGTAAAACATTGATCGGCCATTTTGGCACCACCCTGCCCACGGGGGTCATGATTTGAACAAAATTGAGTCTACACTAACCTGAGGATGATTCCACATGAGTTTCATCTTTCCTGGTCCAGTGGTTCTTGAGAAGAAGATTTTTCCTATATATTGCTCTGTAAAACTTTGATCGGCCATTTTGGCCCCACCCTAACCCCAGGGGTCATGATATGAACAAACTTGAATCTACACTACCTGAGGATGATTCCATATGAGTTTCATCTTTCCTGGCCCAGTGGTTCTTGAGAAGAAAATTTTTAAATAATTTTCCTATATATTTCTATGTAAAACTTTTGTCGGCCATTTTGGCCCCACCCTACCCCCAGGGGTCATGATTTGAACAAACTTGAATCTACACTACCTGAGGATGATTCCACATGAGTTTCATCTTTCCTGGCCCAGTGGTTCTTGAGAAGAAGATTTATAAAGATTTTTCCTATATATTGCTATGTAAAACTTTGATCGGCCATTTTGGCCCCACCCTACCCCCAGGGGTCATGATTTGAACAAACTTGAATTTACACTACCTGAGGATGATTCTATATGAGTTTCATCTTTCCTGGCCCAGTGGTTCTTGAGAAGAAGATTTTTTAAAAATGCCATTAATTTTTCTCTAATTCATAATTATCTCCCCTTGGAAAAGGGCGTGGCCCTTCATTTGAACAAACTTGAATCCCCTTTACCCAAGGATACTTTGTAGCAAGTTTGGTTGAAATTGGCCCAGTGGTTCTTGAGAAGAAGATGAAAATGTGAAAAGTTTACGACAACGACGACGACAACGACGACAACGACAACGACGACAGACAACAGACAAATTTTGATCAGAAAAGCTCACTTGAGCCTTTGGCTCAGGTGAGCTAAAAAAGCAACTTTTTTAACACATCTGAGAATATTATGTTGTACATCAGTCTAAAAACTTTTATTCATAGGAAAATGTTTACCTGTATCAGATTTCCAGTATTTAGACAAGACTCTTTTTGATGGATTTCTACCGGCCTGCTGTAAAACTGAAAAGGAATATATAGCGTTTAATTGTATCTTCTTAAAGAAGTGTATCTGCCTTTATATTTTCCATAGTTTTGCACATATTTGACACAGAAAAAAAAACTTGGCTCATAATTACATTATAATTAAAATAAAAAGAATCATTGTTTCCCCTAATCAAGACCACAATTCGGGTAAGTCATCTAAACAATCACAGTGAAATTGCTACATTTTACAAAAACATTTTAAGTTAAAACCTTCTTCCAGTTATATCGCTCAAAGGCTCAGTGTTTTAACCTAGACTAACCCATATGACCATAAACGTTTTATTAATATGGTAAGAATATATAGCCATTTTTTCTGAGGGAAACCTTGGATGAGGTCCTCCAATGAATCAATCTCATCCTTGATATTGTCATAAATAGACAGGTAAGCAGCTTTACACTCAAGGTAGAACTCCCCATTATCCCCACCAAGGGAACTTCGACTGGCCCGTTTGACATTCTGTTACAAAGGTAATTAAAGAATTAAATAGGTATAATGTGTGAAATTAATTAGATGAAATCAGTGACATTGAACTTGTTCTCCACATTTCAATTTAACTGAAGAAAAACAAATAAAATTCCATAATTTAAAAAATCTTATTCAGAATCTACATTTGTGAATACATTGTCCTTTTTTTTTTTTTACATAAAACTTGCACTGCTCTTGGTAGTGCCATTTAGTTTCAAGATATAAATTTTGATACATTACTTACATTCTGTGATAAAACTTTCTTCTTGTGTAAAAATCTTATGTCTCTTTAACATGCAGATTTTAACAATGCATTAGATTACTATTTACAAATCTTCAGAACTGTCAAAACAAGACTAAACCAGACTAGGCAAATAATTTAGAGGAAACTAAGAACGCTGGGCATGCGTAAAACGCGAGGCTTTGTTCATTAAGTTGTACCTGTTTGATTCGGGATTGTCACAGCAAAAAATACAATATTTTTATTTTCATCTGTTTTGATTTTCATTTCTCCTGTGTAAAAATATTTGTAAGATAGCCTTTTTTATCATCAAAAGTCAAACAAACAAAACAAGATAAGGCAGATCTCAACGAATAGAACTTTGTATCTCTTAATGATATATTGTCAAAAGTACGTTTTTCAAAACGCAATTTTTGTGCGGAAGATGCAAGCAATATTTTGACGTTGACTATGTACAAATCAGCTTACGTTGTTGCACTGCTTGTTGCTGTTTTGGTGCGATGGCTGGTTTCACTCCATAAATATTCAGGTTTAATTTATTCTATATTGTTTTTTATCAATAAGGTGTTCTTCAAACATTCACAACATTGGCTAAATTTTCTCTGCAAACTTACTTTTTGGGAATTAGTAGAGGAAATTCGAAATATTAATGAAAACTATTAAGCAACTGAGTACTTCCATATGGTAAATACATATTTATTGATGACAGTGCATATGTATATCTTAAGGACATTAAAACTTAAACAACTGTCACTTCAGCTGTTACTAGTGATATAGTTTAACTGTTAAAAATATTTCTCTGCAAGAACTAAATTTTTATGGTATAATTGGACAATCACATGGAATCATTTGAAGGTGTGATCATGAAAGTACAGATGTAATTCTTAATGGCATCTGTTCTGTAGAACACGCTTACTAAACTGTGTTTTGCACTTCTATTGTCTTTATCGCTATAATCATGATAATAATTTTTTTTTTTTACATTTTCCTGATGCCGAGGCCAATCCTATTTTAAAAATAACATAATTTGTTTTGCAAATGATTCACCTTATGAGCATCTGTGAACGGGTATATAAATGGGGACATGCAATTCTGTGTAGTCAGTCAATGTGCCACTTTGAACATGGTGAATACCAGTAAGTGATTGACTGTTCAGAAGATTGACGTTATGGATTATTGTTAATTTGTGATGTGCGAAATGGCAATACCTTGCTTTATAAATAAATTGTATGTTATAAGCATTTTATTTGAATTTATCTGAATTTCAGAGACAGAAAAAAATGGCTTTGCAATTTATAGTTTGACAACACAGCTGCTAAAATTAGTCTAAATTTAAGAAAAAAATCCAAAGGAATTATCTTTTTCTGTTGTGTTCCCAATAGAACACATTATAACAAACAATGAATTTGTGCTTATTTGCAAAAACAGCATTTAATTGTTCTGGATCTCTCTTGAAGGGGCCGAGAAACCTCCAATGTTTGGTGATTATGAAGCTCAGCGACACTGGATGGAAATCACCTATCACCTGCCTCCTCAACAGTGGTAGAGTATCACTAATACATTAATAATGAGAGCATATATAAGTAAATTTTGATGTTTAGTAGTTTACAAATGCTTCTTTGTCATCTAACATTATTCAGCAGCTTTTAAATAATAAACCTAATGTATGATAAATGTAAAACAAGAATGCAGTCCAATTAAGAGGTCCATTACTGTTAACCAACTATTGTATGGGACTTATTTTACTCATTGGTGTGTGACAAATCATATTTTCTACCTAATTTCTGTTTCTTATATTTAATTTCATGATCATAAAAATCAGAATATATTTATCAAACATATATGAAAGTTAGGTTAGTGCAAATTAGTAAATTTTGTTTTTGTCTTATTTTCAAATTTCATTGCATTTGTTTGTAGATATATATGTAGTTTTTGTGTTCTATCATGCAGGAAGTATAAGTAATTTCTTCTCAATTTTAGGTATTTCAATGGCGTAAACAACAATTTGTCATACTGGGGATTGGATTATCCCCCTTTGACTGCTTATCATAGCTGGCTTTGTGGTGCAGTGTAAGTATCAAAAGACACTCTGACAGTTAGTTAACCCCCTTTAGAAGCCAATTGGAGCTCTGTTACAATGCACTTTGAAAAATTACGCACTTTGAAAAAATTTTTCAAAGTGTGTTAAAATTTGGGACCAAGATAACGCACTTTGAAAAAAATGATTTTTTTTCAAAGTGCGTTAATATCGACCATATTAACGCACTTTGAAAAAAAATGTAAAGATTGATCAATATTCCTTCAAATAATCAGGTATGATAAATAACAGATCCTGGTTTGATAACTTTTTTATGATAGTCACTGTAGGACCTGAGATATTGACGTTTTAAATATTTAAGGTTTTGATAAAATAAAAGGGAAAATTAAAGGGTCTTGATAAAAAGAGTGACGATTGTTTAAGTTCATTAATTCGTTTCTTTTTTTTTAATTCTAGTCTTTGATAAGTAGATGTAAAGGTGTATAGGGGGCACTAACAGAGGACAGCTTCAAGCAACTTAGCATTTATCATAATAAAAAGGGGCCAATTTGATTGTTCAAAACTATGAAAATTCTTTCTCTCTATCATATGTTCTACTGTACTTAAATATTTCTAGTTTTCATCTGTTTTAATTAACTCATTTATTATTGAAAGTTTTCAACGTCATACCAGTTAGGTAAATACATAATTATATGAATACTTTGAGTATAGCATAGACATCGAGACTGGGCGAAGGTACAGGGGAGGGCTAAGCCCCCCACTTATTTTGGAAAGATATATACATCGTATAAGCATTGAAAATGCAGCGTAACCTTTTTAGGTTTGTTGCTCCCTTCCCCCGTTTGTTACCGACACCTGTGTATTGGAAAGATAAAGATTTGGACTTAGGGATCCTATACCCATCTTCTCCTCTTTTCGACGGGAGTAAAATCAATTCATTTTTGAGGTTAGGGTTAGGCTTAGTTTTTTGAAAGATAAATAACAAATAAAATCTTTCCATGACTAAAATATGATTTTTTTTTTCAAAGTGCGTTAAGTGTCTCCATGGTAAAATATATTGATGTAGACTCTTAACGCACTTTGAAATTTTTTTTTCAAAGTGCGTTGAGTTGGTCCCAAATTTAACGCACTTTGAAAAATTTTTTCAAAGTGCATTGATTTTGTCCCAATTTTAACGCACTTTGAAAAATTTTTTCAAAGTGTGTAATTTTTTCAAAGTTCATTGCCACAGAGCTCCCATGATCAAGACTTTTTCAATGCTGTACAACTGCTGAAGTTGTTGACTATTCATGTCTAGTGTTCTCCTATTTCTGTATAACTGAAGTTGTTGACTACTATAGATCACTTAATTTTCGTGACACCTTATTTTCGTGAGATAGCCATTGACTCTTCATTAGCGAGACAAAATTTTCACGAATTGTGGTCATTGCTCTATATAATTCTTACGGAATTCTATTATACGCGAGAATGAAATTTTCACGAGCATACCGTCTTGCGAAAATAAAGTTCTCACGAAAAAAAAATGATTTACAGTATTCATGTTTAGTGTACTTCTAATTCTGTATAACTGAAGTTGTTGACTATTTATATTTAGTTTACTCCTTGAAGTTGTTGACTATATTCATGTTCTGTCTATTTTTAATTTCAGTGCCCACAAGATAAATCCTTCCTGGGTTGCGTTAAAGGAATCCCATGGACATGAAAGTTATGCCCACAAACTGTTCATGAGATACACAGGTATAACTTCTGTTATAATTTAAATACATGTAAATGAAATTACTTAATACATGTAGTATGGTTAAGCAATACAATCAAATTTATGATTTAAACTGGTTTAACATGTAAAGGAGAAAAAATAGTTAAGGTCTTCCGTTTCCAACGGAAGACCTTCTACTACTGATTTTAGATAATAGAAGGACGATGGATTTTGAAGTTGTGCACATCGGTTTTTGTTTTTCGATTTCTCTATTCAAAATGGCGCTATATAGGGGTCAAAAATTAGAACGCTTAAAAGAACCAAAAATTACTCATATTTTGCTTTTTATCTTGTAAACTAAAAATATTTTGTTAAAATATATAGAACATAATTTGTGCAGAATTAGAAGATCTTTCAAATGATATGTCGGGAAAAGGGCTGACCCCTAAATTAAGGGATCTAGAGGGGCCAAAAGTTTTTTTCAGATATCTCAAAAAGTATTGAGAATTTGTTATACATCAAAGAAGCAAAGTTGTTCAAAATGTCAAGCTTAATCTAATGGAGTCGTCAAAATACGTCCAGCGTCGTCACTTCCGTCCAAACCGGAAGTAGTCGGAAAACGCGTATTTTTGCCGTTTTTGACAAGTTTTTGGGTAACATATGTCTCTGGTAGCTCAAAAATGAATTTTTCATGCGTCGTCGTCATTTCCGGTCAAACCGGAATTAGCAAAAGGGCTTATTTTTGCATTAATTAACATAGCTTTAGAGGATTCAAAGCATTTTTGGGCGTTATATCTCATTTTTGTTAAAAATGAAAGCTACTTCCGGTCAAACAGGACGGAAGACCTACTCGTTGCTTTGCAACGAGCTTTGCTCTAGTTTTGTTTATAGAATTGTTGTGGTAGGATTTAATATTGGCATCTTATAAATTAACGAAAGTATTGAGAACGCTTACATGTTTTATTTTTGGTTTAATTCATCGAAAGCAGAGCTTTTTACATGTATTTAGCCTAACCTAGTTCCCTGTCCCTGTTTGTCCCTGTTTGCTTCACGTCATTTCCTTGGCAAGGTATGGTGGTATATCTATGCCATCCTAATAATTTTTTGTCAGCATAGCATATCATGTAAAGTCAAAATCTTGTCAAGTCATGATAAATCTGGTTTGTCGACAAACAACGGCTTTATATCTTGTCCAGTCAAGATCAACTATTAATTTTGTTGCAATAGCGATCTTGTCATGACGAGACAACTTTTAGTCGGGATACAAGATAAATTATCTCTTTTTGTCGAGAAAGCTATCGCATAAATACGACAGCTTATCTTGACTTACAAAATAAAAGTCGATGTTTGACGACAAACCTGACTTAACATGGTACTATAGTATGCTATGTTGACAAAATTAAAAAAATATGTGGATGGCATAAATATGCTATCATAGCAAGGATTAACTCGGGCATATCGAATAACTTTGGAGACGTTAACTCAACATGGAGGGATAGGGGGATATTTCTGGATAAAAATTTAATGTGGACTATGGAAAAATGTCTGGTCATCCATTTTAGTTGTTACCTGGCCTTCCTGTTCTACAGTCAGTAATCAAAACAACCCTTGGAAACTGTTCTGTATCAATCGATTTTAACGGTAAACCGCAAACTCACATGAGAATCAACACTTCCTTTTTTACGAAACGACATCGTTTTAGCTTTACACAGCTATCATTTTACATTCAGTTACTTTTTCATTGCGTTACATTGTTGTCACATTTTTCTTAGGTAAATAGAGCTCAGCCAATAACAAAAATATAGGTTCAGTTCAGAGGTATACCATTATATGATATGGCAAATCTGCTTGTATGTTTTTGTCCTTTCGCCTTTATTGCAGTTGAAACAAGTAACCAACAAATAATGATTTGTCATTAGTCAAGTAATAATAATTTAAACGTTTAAAAGAGGATAAAAATTAACATACAGAGAAGTATTTATGCTTAAAGTAATTAAGGTACTAAATAAATCACACACACGTTCACTTACAGGATGAAATGAAATAGTTCGTATTACTAGGTTTTGTCTAGAAAATCTTCTAGGAGGTAAAAACTCAATTTGAAAAATAATTCAAATGAAAATTATTTTCCTGTTGAACACAAAAAGAGGCTCATTGGTTTAAAGATGCGATTTTTTCAGGATATCTTGAAAGCAGAAAGCAGAAAGTAAAAACAGATCCATATCTATATAGAAAGCCCAGGGTTCAATTCTATTCTGCAACAAAACTCATATTCCATACTGTCTTTTACAATTCTTTATGGAATGAAATTATTTTGAACCTCCCATTAAATGGAATGACAAATGTGTTCCTTAAATACCACTATTTAACTTGCTGTTGATTTTTTTTTATTTATATATCTTGAAAATAAATTATGAAAACGTTTTAGAATAACCAAAGCTGTGCATAAAGTGATGGAAATAATAACGGTCTAGACATTCAAAAGCTATACAGTTACAAAAGGATCTGGAAAAAATATGACGCGCTTTCTAATATGCATATTTAAACTAAAAGGCAAAAAGTTCTATAACCATAAAAGAGTCAAACTAGAGATCACCGGTTCATATAAAACATTTTCCTTTATATGCAATTATAACAGTAAAAAGGAATAAAAACAGCAGAATGTGTTCCTTTCAAACACGATTCTTGCTTGTAATAATTAAATCTTCGACACCTGTTATAATTAAATCTTCGACACCTGTAATAATTACATATAATACCTTCAACCTGATTAGTATTTTCAAAGATAATTAAAAAAGAATTTGCAATACAAAAATGTTAAAACGTTTTCGGAAAAATGAGAGAAAAAAAAGATGAATCAATCAATTTTTGATGCACCTACATAATAATCTAGCTTTTTCCTTTCTGAAAACAAGGTTTACACAAATCACGCGATTCTCGAGCATATTTTATTTAAATAAAAAAAATAATCAAAGGGGTTAAAACTTATTGTTTAATTTGAACAGAAAGGTAATAATACAACCTGAAAATGTACTTTTGATTAAAACCAAAAAGCCGTAGAAATTGTTTTTAGGTTCCGATATGGTCTTCTGATTTCAATGTTACATAAGCGAAACAGCAAAATTCAACAATAAAAGCAACATTGGATGTATGAAATATGCTGAGAAAACGAACCGTATTCGAGCTCAAAAGTCCATTAAACATTACAAATTAGGAGTGGAGCAAAACAGACCTCCAAAACATCCCCGACACACCGTTCCCAATTAGACACTTAGTATTAGATACTTCTCGTCATGATCGGAATGAAACGGAAAAAATCCGTGGTCAACTCAGTTTGCTATTAACGGCCTTGGTGATTATGTCACCGAAGAAAGTCAGGATTGAGGTATCAATCTATTTGCTGAGGTCCTCGCTGGTTGGGCCTTAACCTATCTTTGATATCTCAGAGGTCCATCCTCGTTATGCTAAAAAAAGTATTTGTTAGAAATTCTCAGAGCTATAATTTATTGTTATCTTTAATTTTTTGGATTGATTATTCCTAAGTTTTGTTGATTTTAAAACAAGACATTGAATGTTTCAATCCGGTATCTCCAGTAACTACCCAATTAATTGTTTTGAAACATATAGTTCGCTTATTCTCGTTATTCATACTGTTGAGATGCTTGCTTATTTCACGTTAAGAAGGTTAAATCAAATCGACATATAGATGGAGGAACTACTGCTTGTAAGTATCTATTAAGTAGGATCAGATGTCACGAGGGAGGAAGCATCTTCTGTCAACCGTTTACAATCTCCATGTCACAATTTGTTGACATTGTAGTTTGCAATTAATGGACTAAGACTTAGAGTTCATATGAACAAAGGTCAGTCATCATTTGACTTAACAGAAACATTGCATCTGACTACTTACTAAAGGATAAATTTAACGGAAACTATTGATAGCCGTGAATTATCAACTTGTTATTTAAAAGCTTGCATGAAGTATATGTAGATAACGAACATTATTCAACATCAAAGTCCATAAAACAATACAAAATAGGAGCAGAGCAAACACGGACTATCATTTTAATAATGTAAAGTGAAAACAAAGATAGCATAAATGTTTCTATTGTTCCTAGAAACAAACAAAAGTTGTTGGTTGGAGCATTGCATGAACGGTCTTGTGTACCGGTGTCAAATGAAAAAAAAATGACATGGCTTGAATGGAAAGTTTCAAATAAAAGACGTTCATAATACAATGACTTTTTCAGCAAATACAATTTTTCATTGAGTCAAATGATGACTGACGTTTTTCATACTAATTTTTAATCCATTTTTATTTTATTTGAATTGACGACATATTTTTTCGCCAATTCCCGATCATGACAAGGAACAAACAGCGGATGTGTCCGGTCGGCAGGGGATGCTCATTCCTCCATGACACCTGATCCCACCTCTGATCTTCTGGAGATCTGTGTTTGCTCTACTCCTTTTTTGTATGTTTTATGGACTCTTAAATACCGTTCGTTATCTCCTATTTTTTCATAGAAATGAACATGGGTGGGAATGTTGGACAGGAGATGCTTGATTCTCCATCTTTGTTTTAATATGAACACATTTTATTGAATGAATAAAAAAATTGAAATAAAATCCTCCCCTTGTCCTCCGTGTTTTTAAAGTCCTTGTTTTCTCTGCTCCTGATTTGTTTTGTTTATTCAATTACTTCTCGTTTTTTCATTATTCATAGAATTTTTTTGAATTATGCAAATATGAGAAGAGTTAAAGCAAAATATTGGTATAAATACTCGTAAGCTTTAATGTATTGAGAAATTTTATGAAAATAATATAAAAGTTTTACATAATAGCGAAGTCATCTTGGATCCCCAGCTATACAAATTTAATGAATTTCTTATACGGTTATAATGAATTATGGATATAACGAAGTAATTTTATAGGTCCCAGTGACTTTGTTATAACCGAGTTTGCTGTAATATAATTCAACACCTTTTAGCTTCAATTTTCCTGTGATTCACTATTTTTGCATCATTGTCTTGTTTGAAAGCATTATATACAATTTTCAAATTCCTTCACCCACGAATGTTTTGTAAATGGTCCAGTAGTTTTGAAAAAAGAAGTTAAAAATATATTTTAAAAATAATAATAGACAAAGAGATGAAAACAGACAACAAACAAACTTTAAACAAAAAAGATCACCTGAGTGTTTAGTTCCAGTGAGTGAAATACCCACAGCATACAGTAATAAAACCAAAACACATATTAACCAAGAATAAACTTGTGATCATTCACAATATGATAGTTGAGCCAGTGGCAATCCATTTTTTTCAGTCCTGTTTATTTTTTTTTTTCAGTCTTTTGACGACTCTGCTTTGCTTGTTGCCTTCTTCAATACACCTGCTGTGCGTTCCCAGTGACAGGAACTTCAGAATAGCTCTAGTGAGTAGAGTATTTCTTACATCTTTTAGGGAGTCTAATATTTCTTACATCTTATATGACAAGTTTTGTGTATAAATTCATGAATGATTTTCAGTGAGTTGTAGCAGTGTAGTAAGATACATTGATTAATAAAATATCTGTTCTGTTTGTTTTTTTTTGCAGGTCAATTCTTCTCTGGTGTTCTTTTTATTTTCATTTCATGTCCATGAGAAATCCATTCTTCTTCCAGCTCTGTAAGTTATACTAGTATTTCACTATCAATTAGGTATTAATTAACTTCAGCATCCAGTTTCAGAAAACTTCTTTCATTAAAAAAAAACAATCACAGAGATGCATATTTTCTGGTATATGCAGTATTCCATAATTTTAAAAAACGAATCTTCTTAACATTTATAGACACTGTTGTCTTTCAAAAAAAAATTATCAGAAAATAATCCAGTTGTTTTAAACTTGTAGAGCAATATCCCTACTCATTCATGAACATCCATTTTGGTGTGTATGGTTTTACTTCATTTCAATATTCAGGTAAGTATAAAAACTGATAAATTTTGTAGTTTTAAGTTCAAACATTGTAATTGTTTGTCTTTGTTAATTTTAAAATTCTCATAAATCAATGTACAGAAAACAAAAGCCTTTTGAGTTGGGATATTTTTTGTGATTTCTAATAACCAGACCCTTAGTTACAATTTGAAGCATTGTTTTGTTAGAAACAAAGACATTAAAATAAACCTGCAAACATGTAGATATATTACTGAAATATTAATATGGTTGAAAAGTTTACATGAAGGTCCTTGTTTTTGTTTGATTTTTTGAAAAAATGATAATAGTAATTTTCCCCAATTCTTGAAATATATACATGTACAGTACAGTGTCTATGATTTGTGTTGTAGCATGCTGCCACTGTTTATTAAGGATGACCTGGTCGTCCCAGCTTTTGCTACCACAGCCTTACATGCTCTGGTGTGTGGAACATGCCTCACCTTAAATTCTGGAAATAGTGATCAACCCTGGGAGAGAATTAAGACTGTGATGGTAAGTTTAATCAGGGTCAAGCTTTAAGGAAGCTCTAAGCACTGCTCATCGAAGAGTTCAAATTCTATGATAGATTTATGCACCCGCAGTATTATGACGTTTTATAATAGCCCATGTATGATTTTTTTAATAAAATGTTAAATTCTATGTTATGGAAATCTACGGAGTGTATATTGGGGGAGGGGGGACCTATCCACAAGCACCTGTGTATTTTTCAAATGCAAATAAAAAATTGTGATTTTTCTTTACTCATACTTCATTATCTTTGAACATTTTTCTTGAATGGAATATGGAAGGTCCTATTTGTGGACAAATAACTAGATATTGTTAGTTTGGTATGTACATCTATTCAGAATCCAGAAAGAACATGTTTTTCATTAGTGTTTAGAGCTTCCTTAGAAGATGTTGTGCTGTACTCACCCATATGTAGTTTCTGTACTATTCCTTGTCTTTCCCTTTCTTTCTGTCATAAAAATTCATGTGTAAATAAATGTTTTCTGTAATGGTTAAAGAAAATAGCTTTAGAAACATTATCAAAATTTTGTGTTTGTTGTGAGCATTCATTTGCAAAAAAATGGATGTATTTTTGAATAATCAGAATTATAATTTTTTTGCAAGGAAACTGGTCTGTATATTATGTTTTTTTTTCTCAGTCAAAGTTCAACTTCACAAAATTCGGATCCTTGATGAATGACTTATTATTATTTGTTATTTGATGCTTCACTTTGAGCCCCCATGATTATTACTTTTAATAGAGCACATTTTTATTTTTTATTAATAAAAATGTGATTTTATTTTATTTAGATGAAGTTATCCATGGTTGGGGCCCTGTGTATGACAGTTGCACACCTGTGTCTGACTCCTCCCCCTAGATACCCTGATCTGTTTCCAGTCCTGGTTTCCATTTATTCTTGTGCCCATTTTGTGCTATTTTTAATTGTATTTCATTGTCTTCAATTTCAATTTTCATCGAACAAGAATGAAATAAAGAAAGTACAATAAATACCTTGATATTTTGTGGTCTTTTGTGTAAATTGTTTAAACAAGGAACTCAGTTTTTAATGTATTAATTTAAAAAAAAAATGAAGAGCCACACAAATATGGAAATTAGAAGATCGAGGTCAGCACTGGACATGAAGATTTAAAAAATCCTTCTTCCTGCATGATTTGGGTTTGGGGCCGCAAAACAATTAAAGATATGTTTTAGTGGTAAAAAATATTGACTTGACTTATTGAAACTGAAGAAAAATATGTTGGTGTCTATATTGCTGGATTAATATGCTACTAGTAACATGTTACCCTAAACCACTGTGAACAAGCAAATTCAAAGAATTGTGGTCCCCCGCTTTCAGTGTCTTTGTGGATGAGATGTCATTTTTTATGACATTGTGTCTAATATGAACACCCTATCATATGTCATTTATTTAGAAATTATCACTGAAGTTGATTTTTTTTAAAAAATAAGGTCAGTTGTGAAGGTCAAGGTCAAGGGGTAAGAATTCATAGCATGCTCAGAAATATCTTGTCACAGGTAATGCACATGTAAAATATGAAAGTCCTATCTCTTCTCAATATAAGGAAGAAGATGTGTCAAATTGTGAAACACAGATGACCTCGTATGGCAACATAACAAAGATTTAACATTTCTTAATTCAAATGAAATATATTTGATATTACCAAAAGTAAGGTTTTCAGACAAGAAATATGATTGTAAAATACAAAATCCCACCCCCCTGTTCAAAAGAAAGTTATGTCCAAGTATACATTTTTGAAAGGTAGGTCAAACTCCAAGGTGAAAGGATCTGAGTTGTTGATTTCTTTAAAAAGGTCACAAGTAATACATATGTGAAGGATGAAAATCCTAACCTTAACCGTTCAATAGTTATGGCCAAGGTAAAAGTTTTGGAAAAGTAAGTCAATCTCCAAGGTCAAGGTCAAAGGGTCAAAGTTCTTGGTATCCAATGAAAGGTCTTCTCATAAGGATTACATATGTGAAGTACGAAAGCCTTAGCCCTTACCATTCAAATGTTATGGTCAAGGTTAAACTTTTTTTTTTCAAAAGTACGGAAATCTCCAAGGTCAAAGTCAAAATGTCAGAATGGTTGGTATCCAATGAAAGGCCTTGCCACAAAAAATACATATGTGAAATATGTAAGTCCTAGTTTCTACCATTCAAAAGATATGGTCAAGGTTAAAGTTTTTTTCATAAGTACGGAAATCTCCAAGGTCAAAAGGTCAAAGTTGTTGGTGTCCAATGAAAGGTCTTGCGACAAAAAATACATATGTGCGAAAATATGAAGTCCTACATGTAGTATCTACCGTTCAAAAGTTGTGGCCATGGTCAAAGTTTTTGAAAATTAGGTCAATCTCCATGGTTAAGGTCAAAGGGTCAAAGTTCTTGGTATCCAATGAAAGGTCTTTTCACAAGGATTACATATGTGAAGTACGATAGCCCTAGCCCTTTCCGTTCAAAAGTTATGGTCAAGGTAAAAGTTTTTTCATAGGTCTCTAAGGTCAAGGTTAAAAGGTCAAAATTGTTCGTATCCAATGAAAGGCCTTGACACAAAAAATGCATATGTGAAATATGAAATTCCTAGTTTCTACTATTCAAAAGATATGGCCAAAGTAAAAGTTTGGATTTTTTGTGTAAAAGTGGGTCAAACTCCAAGGTCTAGGTCAAAAGGTCAAATATGGTGGTACCCAAAGAAAGGTCTTCTCACAAGGGACACACAAGTGAAATATGAAAGTCATAGCTCCACTAAATCAAAAATAATGGGCAAGGTTAAAGCTTTTGCGACGGACGGACAGACGAATGAGATTTAATGTCCCCTCGCTTTCGCTAAAGCGGGGGACAATAAAGAAGGCAATAAATTGTTATTTTATTCATTATGGTTTTATTTTGATCGGGATTGGTCCAAAATGAATTTTTTTTTTCAATTTGCCATTTCATTTCAATTTCTTGCCAAAAAGACTGAGACTAGTCAAAATTCACATATACTTTGATCATTAGTAAACTTTAAGTGAATCATCGTGCATACGTACAGATATTTCTCCATCAGATAATAAAGGCTTGTCATAATTTTTAATTCTTATACCACCAACCTTTCACTTGCTATCTGACTTCGAATTAAAGTCATGACACTCCTTAGGTTCATAAACAGTACCTGTATCAGGTTCCAATGAGCAATCTTTGTATCAAGTACGAGCTCCTAGTATTTCTACATTGTTAAGTTAAAGTCTTAAAAAAATAATTTTACACTATTCTGCCTGTAACTTTGAACTTGCTGCATTGACACTGGATTAAAATAACAACTTTCCTTATTTCAAAAACAATACCTGTACCAATTCTTCTCCAAATAAAGTTTTAGCCGAGACATTTTTTTTCTTTTTTCCACCAGTGACCTTGAAATCGCCAAAATGACCTTGGAGAAAGGTCAAGGCATATTCTTTGATCATAAGCAATATCTGTACCGAGTATGAGCTTCCACTGACTCTCCATTACAAAGTCAAGTTATGTCATACCTTTTTTCTACTAGTAACCTTGAACTAAATGGAATGACTGGATAAGATCATGACACATTTTTGGGTCATAAGCAATCCCTGTACCAGGTTTGAGCTTCCAGTCATTCTTTCTACAAAGTTATGACCCAGACAAAAATTTCATACTTTTAGGTCAGTGACCTTGAACTTGCAGGAATGACCTTGTGTCAGATCAGGACTCACTGTCGGGTCATTACAAGCAAGCTCTATAACAAGTATAAGCTTCCAATGTTTCCATATATCAAAGTTAGAGCCTAGACAAAATTATATTCCTATATATCCCTAAAACTTCCTTTGTTTTACCAAAGTAGGTCAAAGTCTAACTTAAAGGTTAAAAAAAGTTCAAAAGGAATGGCCATGGGTAGTAAAAATTAGTAAATTTGGAGACACATAAACAGACAGACAGTTTATCAAAATATGAGTAACTTTGGCCATTATGTTATTAAACAGATTTCCCCCTAATACCTATCTTGACCTTTCCCAATCCACAGGGGTCATGATCCAAGCAATTTAGAATCTACACTAGTAACACTACCCCAGGATGCTTCCACAGAAGTTTAGCTTTTCTGGCCCAGTGGTTCTTGAGAAGATTTTTTTATGACCCCACCCTATTTTTGTATATTCTTGACAATTTCCCCTCGGAAGGGGACTTTATTTTTATAATTTAAACTCCCACTACCCAAGGATGTTTTGTACTAAGTTTGGTCAAAATTGGCCCAATGGTTCTCAAGAATAAGTTGAAAATGTGAAAAGTTTACAGATGAATGGACAGTCAGACGGATGGATGACGGACAACAGGTGATCAGAAAATCTCATATGAGCTAAAAACTGCAAGGTCTGCTATGTAAATCAAAGGAGAGAAAATATAAAAGAATTTAGATTTTGCATATTGTTATATTTATTTATAATCTAAAACACTAAAAAATAATAATGTTACAATGAGATCACTTTATCTTTTCTAGCAATTTTTAGACATCATTGAGATAGTGGCCATCTCAAAGGGTCCCACTTTCAGCAATGAACATAAAAATGTAAAGTAGCTGAAAGGGGTTTTAACCTTGACTCTTGGCCTAGAAACTTTGTTCAAGGTCACTACACATCCATTGACCAGTGGCACTCTGTGAGAGAAGTATTAGCCACATTGGACCAAGGGGAGAAAGCATATGCTCTGGACAAGGATTCACAATAAAAAAAAATTATCTCCCTTTCTCTTAAGCTTAGATATTCAGACAAGCACTGATTTACCTCTCTTGATATTTTTGCTTAAAAATCCAATCTTTAACTTTTTTAAATTAAAAAATATAATATACAGATACAAAAAAACATTCAGAAAAAAATAATGTAGTATATGAAAAGTTGTACAATAATGTAGTAACATAACTTTGAGTGATCTGCTGTGGATGTCATATGAGTTATCCTTAATGAGTTATGTACTCAGCATGGTACACTGAATCCTGAGAATTAAGCTGTTTACTGTGTCCTTCACTTTGTAGATATTAGTACATACTCAACTCTGTCCATTGGATTCTGTGAGTTAAGCTATTTAGTGTGTCCATCACTTTGTAGATAACAATGTACTCAGCACGGTCCATTGAATTCTGTCAGTTAAGCTATTTAGTGTGTCCATCACTTTGTAGATATATAACAATGTTCTCAGCACGGTCCATTGAATTCTGTCAGTTAAAGCTATTGAAATGTGGTTTTATCACTTTGTAGATATATAATAATGTACTCAGCACTATCCATTGAATTCTTTGAGTTGAGTTATTTAAGTGTGTCCATCACTTGCAGTACAAACCTAAAATTACTCTGCACTATTGTTGAAGCATATTTGTCTGCTATCAAAGAAACATGAAATTGATGGCAGTCTGCCTGTAAAAAAAGAAATTACAAGGACTCAACATAAATATTAATTAGGGATGGCAATCGAATACAGAATTGCTAATTAGTAAACTGGCAACATCGTTCATGAAATCAAAAACCGATGCCAGAATTAACCGGTTAATCGTTTCAAAAATAGTTACATATTTTTAAATATTTTTTTAAGTAGCTCGATCTATCCGTACAGTATATGCATAAAAAGACTGTATATAACGAATTTAAAAGTTAAAAAAGTTATAATTGTCCGCATCAGAAAACGAAAGGTAATTTTTCTACTTAAATTTTAGTGGACAAGAAAAAATTAAGAAAAACACGAATAAGGCTTAGAAAAATCATCGATAACTTTCGGAGTAGATTTCACACAACTTTTTTTTCCTGCATTGTCACAAAAGCACGACTTAAGCTAAATCTGTCCTTAATTCAGTTAACATTGTTTAACTAAAAAATATATATACATGTAATTGAAAACGTAGTAAAAAAAAACCAATTAGTACACAACTTTGAGTGATCTGCTGTGGATGTCATATGTTAATTAAAAATACAGTTCTATCGGGGTAACAACATGGTGTTTTCACAGTGATAAACACTTA